TTGGGCCCTCCCCCTCTACCTCACCTGACTTCTGTCCCACCACTGCACTCTTGGTTCTTGGGAAAGGTGTTTTGTCTAAATGGAATCTTCGAGAGGGGTCTAATCCCCGACTCTCCCATGACCGTGTAAATTCTTAGTTGAAATGGTACTGGAGATCACACAGAGTAAATTTCCTTGGAATCCTCTCAGCCAGGAGATGGAAAACGGGCCTATTGGCTTTTCTCTGACTCACCCAATAGAAACTCCAAGATGTTGGATTTCTGATGGCGGATGCTGCGAATTTTAAAAAAGCAGTGTCATCCCTTTTGTGCTTCCCTTTGTATCTCTGATTTGAATGTTTGTCTCAGGTTTTGTGCTCAAACGAGTTTTTGACTCTTCAATCTTTAAACATTTAGGGAACACCTACAAGTTGTTAGGCACTCTATAGAACTGGTAAATATATTTCCATTTCAAGGGATCAAATGAGTCATGTGCTAAATTTTAGGATATTCTTCCAAAAAGAAACTTATGATCTCCTATAAAAGGGTTTTTTGGGCGCTGAGCTCAGCAGGGTGTCAGCTTAAGAACTCTCTCTCTTTCTCTGCCCTCCTCCCACCTCCCCACTCACATGCACTCTCTTGCAAATAAATCTTTTTAAAATTTCTTTTTTTAAAACATTTTTTAAAGTATTTTTTATTTGACAGAGAGAGAGAAAAGAAAAACAGAGAGAGAACATAAGCAGGCACAGGCAGAGGGAGAAGCAGGCTCCTTGATGAGCAAGGAGCCAGACATGATAAGGGGCTCGATCTCAGGACCCTGGGATCAGGACCTGAGCCAAAGGACATGAGCTTAACTGACAGAGCCACCCAGACGCCACTAAAAATGTTTTCAAATACGCTATACACATTCTGAATACTTAAACTGATGATTGTGTGGATTGATTGTGCAATAATATTTTGCATTTATTAAGCTTTTTAAATGCAGTACAACTCCACATTATCTTGGTGCTTCATGCTCTAAATCACTTGTAAGGAAAGAAAAACGTGGGAAGCTAAATGGGAGAGCATGCTTATGTTTCCATACATTTTTTTTTAAACCAAAAACATTGAAAAAGCATGCTTAAGAAACAGCATAGGAAAAGGTTTATGTTAAAGACATATGTAAATTAGCAAAAAGGTTGAAGCAGCTTCTTTTGGTGCAATCCCTTTTTGGCTGATACAGCTGAGTGCAGTTACGACCGTCCAGATAGTGGAAATGATGTAATGTAGCGAGGATGGGACAGCATGCATGCATGCATGCATTTATTTATCTATCTGTCTATCTATCTATCTATTTATTTATTTATTACCTTGGGACGGGGAGAGGCAGAGGGAAGGCAGAGAGAGAATCCTAAGTGGACTCTGCCCTGAGGGCGGAGCCCAAGAGGCTCGATCTCACAACCCTGAGCTCATGACCTGAACCAAAAATCAAGAGTCAGACCCTCAACTGACTGAGCCACCCATGCATCTGGAAGAGATCTTAAAGTCTTAACGTTTGTTCTTCAGAACAGAGATTAAGAAGATTCTTTTTAACAGAAGAGAACTTTACAAATGTTAATAAATATTCATGTTTAACAGCTGTGTTTACAGTTCATTACAAGCCTGATTTTTAATATTTTTCTGCCTTTCCCCTAAGGATTTATGTATGAAATTTACACAGGGCATGGTTTTTCTACTATCATTACTTCTCTAAATTGACCTTGCAAGGGGCACCTGGGTGGCTCAGGTGATGAATTGTCTGCCTCTGGCTCTGTGGATCCAGATCCAGCCCCTCATGGCTCCCTGAGGAGCAGGGAGCCTGCTTCTCTCTCTCCCACTGTCACTCCCCTTGCTTGTGCTCTTTTGCTCACTCTATAAAATAAGTAAAATCTTAAAAAAAAATAAATAAATTGACCTTCCACAACTTCCAGAAAACCCCACCTACTTTCAATCTCAGGGCAGAAAAGTTAAGATAAATCCGATGGATCCTCAGTGTGAGGTGTAGAAATTCTCCACTTTAAAACACTCTCAAGAAAAATTTAAGTTATTTTCTTCTGTATAAAGAAAGTTAGGCAATATATATTTTTGCTATGTTGGGATAGGCTATTATGCTTATATTTGGAAATAAAATTGCTTAAGACATGGCCTATAATTACCAATTTATGTTAACATGTTTCTGTTCTCTGTACAATTTTTGTCAAAAAAATTTAGAACATGGAGTTACACACCAAAAAAAAAAAAAAATCTGAATTTGTGCTCCCAAAGTTTTAAATTTTTTTGATTCAATAATGAAATATTTAAAAAGATATCTTCTGTTACTACAAAGTAAAAAAAAAAAAATGATAATCTAGTGATCGATCTAACTTAGTCACCTATCAAGAAAACACATACTATCCCAGACACTAAATTCAGTGTTTTAAAAGTAATCCAAAGACACAGAAAATATGCTGTCACTAAAACATTGTGTATCGTCATTAACCCTGAACCACTGTCTGCCTGGCTCATAAGACAAGACACAGTTACAACACAATGTAGTCTGGAGAAATCTTGACATTCCTAGAACAAACACACTAATTCACACTGTAATTGACTTTGTACTTTACAAACTTTATTAAATAATGAGCATTACTAAGTTTCATTATCTTATATACAATATTTAAACTATCTTTTCCTAGATGCATTTTTTTTTTTTTTTTTGCACAAAGAGTAGGTGAAAAGTGAACTTTAAAAAAAAAAAAAATTGAACCTTCAGTACAGAGCCCTAATAAGAACTTGGCATACTTTTAAGTACATATAACTCCCCGCCCCCCAATTATATACAATCTTACCCCACCTCCAAATGAAACTATCTGAAACAGAAGCATTTAACTGGTAACTTTGAGGAAAAACACAAACATGATTATACATATACACACAGCTCTCAAAATCTGCATCCTGGTTGACAGAAGTGGTCTATGAAGCTAAAGACTTGTCCTAGAACGTAAAGACAACCACACAGACATTTTATACAGCAAGATATCCACCTTCGTGCAGCAGAGAATACTCCTGTAGGTAACATCAAAGCCGTGTAATGAGACACTGGTGTGATGAATTAATAATGTCTGAGAGTAAGACACCGCCGTAATATATGGATAATATAGAATTGGGGCTCATACAAACTAAAAGGCAAAAATCGGAAACTCCATTCTTAGGACAAGAAGAATCAGGTAACTTTGTTTTGCAAACCCACCTGCGACGACCTCTTGCAAGTCTAAGAACATACTTTCCCTATGGGGCTCGTCTTTTCTGATACTCTTACTCTTGGGGGCTTGTCTTTTCTGATACTCTTACTCTTGGGGGCTTGTCTTTTCTGATACTCTTACTCTTGG